ACCGTTCCATCAAAAAAACGCTTACTAGCTTGCCACCAATAAGTGGCAAGCTCAGCTTCCGTGGGTGTCAGCCTCTGTAGAGGAGTGTTGGCCTCCTAACAATATAAAAGCTCAAACAAAGTTAAACGTGTACTAGTAATAACTTGTTTATAAACATATGGTAGTATTTATGTTAACTTACATTATTTATTGTCGTATACCGTAGTAAATCTTCTCATTGCAAAGTCTGTTTCCTCTTCCAGGAAATAGCCCTGGGAATATCATTTGAAGTTTTTATTGCATATGTCTTCATGGCGGGAAAGGCCTCAAATATCCAAATCTACAAACAATATAATAACAAACATTAGTAATTGTTAAATAATTACTTATAATTTTGAAAACATCATATAAAAATTCTTACCTTAAAGGCCCAAATAAAGCCTGTCAAAGTGTATTTGGAACCATCGCCATGCAAACTTTTTCGATCATCCAAGGCAGACGATAACTTATTCCATGTAGCTTTCCATAAATACGAGCCCCACAGAAACAGGTTCCACGCATTTAGGTCTTCTACCAATTTGATTAGATCATTTGGAATAGGTTGACTGGTTTCTCTGCCTAAAAAGCCAGTATGCAAAAGAATTAGAAGGCATACTCGGACAACGTCGACGTCATCCATCTGAGTAAAACCATCTTTATTATTCAACAATCTTGTCAGGTCTTCTACGTGTAGACTCGGCCTCTCCAGCTCAGGAAAAACCCGGGATAGCCATGATGGGCGGGTAATGTGTCTAGTGTACCGACCTACATCATCGTGTCCGAAGCGTAGACCGGTGATTAAGCAAAACTCCTCCCGCCCAAAACACGTATACGCCGGTGGAAAATAAAACCATATCTCTTCATCACGACGTTGTATAGTCTCTGGTAGATCGCTAGTCATGGTTTGAAGAAACAGGTGTGTCAACATCGCATCTCCACCGGGATGTTGTACTTTCAGCCATGGCCCGAAGCATGTATCCTCAAACATTTTTCTTTGTGCAAGTGAAAGCTTCGACGCAATTGTTTTGGCCAGGCTAACTTTATTTCTCAAGGTCAATTGAGCCGAATAAAAGTTCTACAAAAACAATAAACATACTAAATTAGATATACCAAAAACTACACTGTGAAGATATACCAAAAAAATAATAAACATAAAGAGTAGTAGTTTATTCTTCAAACTTAAATTTGCAACACTGTGAATTTCGTATTTGTCTTTGGTTTTTGGTTGAAGAAATGCAATTCATTCAAGTTTCAATTTGCAGAAGAAGAATAGTTTCTGAAAATGAAAATCGCAACACGAAAATGACTATCGCAACGCGAATTTGACTATCGCAACGAGATAATCGCACCGCGAAACTAAAATCGCGTTGCGATTTGCATTTCGCGTTGCGATTTGCATTTCGCGTTGCGATTCTCGGTTGATTTAATAAGCAATCTAAGTGAAATAGTTAATCTATTATTGAAATTACCAGTAAACTTATCATCAATTTCAATATGAAAAACCTAATAATAATGCAAAAATTTCAAAAAGAAAATAATTAAAAAAACTAACCCTCGTTGGTTGATTTGGTTGATTTTCCATTTCTGATTGTGAGGGTGGCTCTGAGAGATGGAGATAGACGGATTTCGCCGGAGATGGGGACGGATTTCGTCGGAGATGGGTGAGAGAGTGAGAGATGGAGATGGGACTGAGTTGTGATTTTAGGTTTTAGGTTATGAGTTGCGATTACGGGATATACTGTGGACGGTTCAGTGTTCCAATATATTAATATTCGTGTTTGGAATTTAAAAATAAAATACTTGGCCAGGATACTAATGGCGCTTTGAAAATCGCATTGCGATTATGTATTATCGCGTTGCGAAAGTCAGAATCGCGTTGCGAAAGTCAGAATCGCGTTGCGAAAGTCAGTATCGCGTTGCGAAAGTAAGTATCTCGTTGCGATTTTGTATTATCGCATTGCGATAGTCAGTATCGCATTGCGATTTTCCCAATTCGCGTTGCGATTTACTTATTCGCATTACGATTTTCCCAATTCGCGTTGCGATTTACTTATTCGCATTGCGAATTGGGAAAATCACAACGACACTATAGACCATCGCAACGCGATTGTCAACTATCGCATTGCGAAAATGCAACGTGAATTTGCGATAATGGAGATCGAGTTGCGAATTAGCGATCGCATTGCGATTTTGTTGGTCATTTTGGCAAATCCGGAAAAAGTTGGTTAAAATCGTATATTATATGGGATTTTTGGTCACTGAGGTTATTTTCTCAATTATTAATTTATCGATTAATTAATATTCTTTTAAATTAATAAAATCACGTGATCTCGACATTATTAAATTCATTTAAATTTTACTGTATGTAACAACTACAATATAAATGATATCGACATCGACCCTTCATATATGAACACTGTAAAATATAAAAAGAATCATTTGGGGAAAATCTTGGGAGGTAGATATGTAAGTAGGCAGCAATAATAATTAAAAAAAAGGCAGGTTGATTGAATTGTGGATCGCCACCTTCGATGGTAATGTCGTTTTAATACAAATATTGATTGAATAAATTGACTATACAGTTTGGTGCCAACGGGGTCTGTTTTGGCTACATCTGGACTTGATTTTAATGGTTCTTGTAATGTCATACACATTTGCCAAAACACACGAAATCTTTTATATTATTTTAGCATTTAAAAGGACAGGTTTGAATCGATCTCTAAATGATTGGAATTCATGATTAAGACGTTATTTATATTTTAGTTTTAAATGTCAATGCTTACATATATTTAGTGTGTGGGTTTAATATATGGGTTTTCCTCTTATTTTAGGTTTAATAAAAAAAATATCCCACTTTTTTATTATTTATTTTTTTATAAGTGATTTTATAGTTAGAGTTATAAACAATTTAAATGAATAACTAAAGTTATAGTTGATCTAAATTAGAATAAATTTAGACATGTTTATCAGGGATAATAGGCAGTACACTTTTGTGAATTTCACATCATACCCGTTTCAATTGGAATGGGGATATGTATATATTTAGTGGGTAGTGAGCGAGTGTGGATATAAAATGTCATACATGTCATGGGTAGTGGGTGGATGGTGGATTTCAGACCTTACCCGCCCTACATCCTCCCGCCCCATATCCGTATGTCCACTAACAAGCTAATTTATGAGATTTTAATGACTTTGGGTGAATATAGAAATTAGGCCCTAATAACAAGTATTACAAAAAAATGAATCATAAGAACAAGAAAAATTAAATAAAAATATTTTTTATTACGTTTAATAAGTTATCTAATAAATACATCAAATTTTAAATAGAAAACATCAAGAAATTTTATTAAATACCCAACTATTCACACAAAACAAGCATGATCATCTTTTAAGATGGTACATGTTAGATTTTGCATATTGTCAAAAAAATAATAAAAGAATAAGTAAGTGGAAAGTGAAAAATAATTTTAAAATGTGACATCAACATCGTTGTTAGTTTTTTAATGATGAGTAACAAAAAAAAAGAAACAAAATTTAACATTAAGTATGCTTTTGAAGAAAAATAATAATTGGATGACTAAAATAAAAATAAAGTAATAAATGAGTGACTACAGAAATAATTTATCCTTTAATTATATATAAATTTATAATTTTAGGACCTAAGCAAGAAAGGGCCATAGACGAGTGCCCTTTTTGCCTATTCTCTGTCTACTAGTTACCCACATATAAATTTTGGACCATTATGAATTCATGTATAATTTTATAGACCATTATGTAAATCTTAAGATTTTATAGGACATGACTTGTAATTTAATCTAATGTTAGGGTACGCAATGGGTGGTGGATATGTACTTGGATAATGAGTGTGGAGTTAGATTTGAGAATATACTTGCATGGGCATGAGACAATATAAAAATTTTACTTGTCGTGAGTAGTGAATAGGTAGTGTATAAAAAAATATTAGATATCTATGGGGGTGGGAAATGAATATTCGCATCCACCCTGCTCATTTGTCGGCCCTAATGTTTTGGGTTGGGTTGAGGGTATTGAATAGGATAATTTCTATCAAAATTTTAAATTATCATATAATTTAGATATTTTTTATTTTCTATTAATAATATATTTTTACCTCTAAAATTATATAAATTTGTATCTAACATACAACTTTAATTAAAAGTATACACATATGACATAATTTAAATTAAAAATAAATTTTAGAACTGAAACACATGACATTTAAAATTAAAATAAATTTTCAGAAAACTCGCACATTATACATACGTTATGAATTCTGTTCTTATTCTCCTATCTGAAGCTTTCAAGCCCTGAATTTTTCAAGTTTTGAAATTTTAATCCTAATTCAAATGTAAACTATATATATATATATATGCCTAATTGAGTTTAGTTTGATCAATATTATTGTTGGTATAATATAGAAAAGAACGTAAAATTAGAATTCATTAAATGAACTTAATGGTAAAAATGGAGTATTATTTTTTGTAGAAGTCTCATATTCGAGCAAATACGTATGTAGAGTATATATGTTTAACGTCAATTATTAAAAATATTTAAATCGATATTATCTTATAATTACCTCATTCTAACAAAAAAAAAATCATAAAATTGAATTTACTTAAACACTCAATATCCTCTTATTTATAGATGAAAACGAATTTGAGTAATATAGATATCATAATAAATTATTAAAATATAATATATATGTGGATGGAAATGATAGACACATTAGAAGTAATTACTTAAATAATCTATAACAAAACAAGGTTGGAACAAGATTATTATATAATAGTATAGTATAGTAAATACATCAAAATTTGGGGAGATATTTGTGGTTATGGTGGTTCAATTATTTCCCAATTAGATCCCTATAAAAGCCCCTCAAGTGTTCAAAGTAACATACTCCCACAAACCCATTAGTCACCTTGCTTTCTCCATCTCTTTGCCACTCTTTCCTCCACCTAAAGATGACCATGCCATCATCGTCTCCAATGGAACCCGAAAAGTACATAAACTATCAAAAGGCAAAAGATACATCTCTCTTGGCCATTGCTTTCTCCATTGTGATTTACATATCTATCTGCTATGACATCTTCAACCTTTCTTCTTCAACTCTTTTAAGCAACACCAAGTTCTGGTTTCTCATCTCCAACACTCTAATCCTCATCATCGCCGCCGATTACGGCGCTTTCTCGGCATCCAAACACCGTAAACCTGACCTTTACGAGGAATATCGCTATGCTTTACGTTGCCAAGCGAGGAGAAGCTCTGCAGAATATCCTTCATTTGTTTCACAACAATGTCACATGAACAATATTCCCATGGAAGAAAAGATCGTAGCCGATCATCATCATCATTACCACCACCACAGGAAGATGGATGAAACCCCAGAAAAAATATTGGAAGTTGTTCGAATCAGTGAACCGGAAAAGCCCGAAACCATCCGACGAAGCAAGTCCCGTAGAGCGAAGCATGTCACATTCAATGACGTGAACAACAACGACAAAAACAATTGCAATTTGCAAAGATCAAATACCGAAAAGCATGAACCGAACATTAAAGTACACGAGTCGCCAGCGGAAGCGAACGAGTTTTCGACCATGTCGGACGAGGAACTAAACAGGAGAGTGGAAGAGTTCATTGAGAAGTTCAACAGGCAGATTAAAGTTCAAGCTAATGCCTGCTAGAAGCCGCCAATTTAATGGAATAGGGTCTTTGTAGGAAGGAGATATGTTGTAATACTTACAATTTTTTGCGTTTCCTTTAGTTTGTGCTTTTCACCTTGAAACTTCCCATTTTGTCATCTTCTCCTTAGCGAATGTAGCAGTATAAATAGTTTGGAGTTTTTAACTTTGATCTCAAACTTAGTTACCATCTCTTTCAACCATCTTTCATGACATCTATAGTATCCTCAATGCTTGTATTTATTCAGTTTAGGTCAAATTCTGTTATTAGTCCCTATATTCTGCATAAGTTTTGTATTTAGTGTATCACTCTAATTTAATCCGTATACTTTTAAAATTGTAGTCTTCACCTAATAGTATAATTGAACTTGATAGATTCAACCACTATTTTTTTACTTAGAATTAAATTTTAAAAAAATAATGACTAAAAACTATTAAATTAGACTATAAAGATTAAATACATAAATTATGTGCAGTACAACTACTAATAGAAGAATTGGATCTAACGTTTATTAGGTTGCACAAAAATCTACAAGGCCTGTGATATAGCTGTTTTAAATGTATTTTTAATGATCAATGCTAAGGGTGCTCCTTACGTGGTCTGAAATAATTTCCATTTGCAGGCTGATGTTGAGGGTGTTGGAAAAATAGGTTGAATTTATTGATGAATATGATAATAATATTCTTTTAAATACGAATATTTATTTGAATATTTTAAATTAAAAAAGTATATGAGTTCTTTAAATTTGAATATTAAAGAATTTATATTTAATTAAAATTCAAATATATTATTTACGAATTTATATTTGATTATAATATGAATATATTTATTTATAAATTTATATTTTATTAAATAAAAATATATTATTTATGAAATTATATTCAATTAAAATATAAATATATTATTACGAATTTATATTCGATTAGAATACAATATTATAGTTCCGGAAGGCAGTGGCAGAACTTGGTAATATCGTTTTGGGAGGCCAATTTAAAACTTTAAAAAATTTAAAGGTTTAAATTAAAACTTTTAAAAATTTTGAAGGGTACAATTTATATTTTTCAAAAAATTTGAGGCCTAACTAAAATTTTTGAAAATTTGATAGGTCTAATGAGAATTTTTTAAAATTTGAGAGACCAAATGAGAATTTTTAAAAATTATGGGAGAGATTTAATTAAAAAATTTAAAGCTTAATCTAATTTTTTAAAAATTTTAAGGGACAAAAATATAATTTTTTAAATTTGTGGGGCATGGCCCCACATGTCCTCATTTAGTTATGCCTATGTGGGAAGGAATGTTTTACCTTAACTTTTTCTTTTTGAATTAATCACTAGTATTCGATATATTTGATATTTAAATATTATTATTATTATTTTATTTTCAAATTAATGGTTTGTCTAACCATCATAAGACTTATTTAAATTCTTTTTTTATACCTTTCTTTAATTTGAGACTATTCAAAAATCGTGGTAAAAATCGAGATAGTAAATAAATTTGTTTTCGAGATTTATTATGTTGTTTCAACGAATTTGCTTAATCTCAAATTGGACAAATCTGTTTAACAGAAATTGTTGTTACAATAACATTGGTTTCTGATTTTATTTCAGAATTTTAATTAAAATAAATAAGAATTAATTTTTTATTTATTAGAATTTCTTGTTTCGTGTTTGAAATCAATCATGATTTTAACTTAGTCATCTAATAGAATTTATATGATAATTATTTATGATAGAAATCGTTTAAAAAATAATAATTTTGTTACTGATTTGTTTTATAATTTTAGTTCCCAGTTGCATTTTGTCGATATAATAAACCAGAATTTATTTTTGATTTATTGTTGGAATTATTATTAATTCCAATTTTGTGTCTTAAATGAAACAATGAGTAATCTGATCGATTTAACAAACTATCAACCTGAAGTAATGGTTTTACTTATACTTTGAATTAAAATTTTATTCTGTGAGTGACCTTGAGCCACAATGAAAAACTTGTGAAATTATGTGGATAAAATTTTAAGACATGAAAATAGTTGTTCTATTTGGTTATGTTGAACTTAGTCAAATATCAGATGGTCATTCTATTATTAGAAAAGATAAGATTAACGATGTTAATGCATTCGTTGCTGATAAAGCTTGGAAGCATTATGACTTCCTATATTGGAACCACATCCTGAAAGGATTGTTAGATACACTGTATAAAGTGTATAGTATCCATAGAATGGATAAAAAAATTATGGATGGCATATGACCATAAATACAAAACGAAAGATGAAGCTACTAAAAACTTTTAGTGACAAAATTCTTAAAATTTGTAATGATATCACGAACAAGGAGAAAATAAATATTTTATTATATTCATTGATGATAGTAAAAATATTGTTATGTGTATTTATTAAAAGAGTAAAGACGAAGTTATAGAGAGTTATTCTCTACAAACAGAGAGTTAAAAACTAAATTAATAAAAAGATTAAGATAGTAAGAAGTAACAGTGGTGATGAATATATTAAATCATATTGTGCACAACACGATGTGATTCATTAGACAATACCACCATACTCTCATAAATTAAATGGAGTAGCAAAACAGAAGAACTGAATCTTAAAGGAACGATGAACACAATGCTAGAAATTTTTAGTTAGGGATGTACGAATTATGGAGAAAAGGGGAGTCGTGGTGGTCCCCCCGAACTGCTCAAATCCCACAAGTGAATAGAAAGTTGGATCTACATTGGATCTCACTTGAATCGCTCCATCTATTCTTCTGAGGAAAAGTTTGGTTTCAAACCCTAGTTCGATCATAAGAACTACATGTGAGGATGAGAAGTTTTTCTATCAACTAATTATCTTTTAAATAAGATTTTCTTGAAAGAAAAAAGATAAAACATCATATGAGTTATGAAAAGGTCAAAAACTTCCTATAAATACTTACAAATATGATAGTATCTTGCTAAAATAATGAGCTCATTACCAAAGCAAATAAAAATAAGTTTAAATGATTAATTGCATTTTCTTTAGCTATTTAGAATATAGTAACTCATACCAATTTCTTTTAAAAATGTATTCTCCTAAAAAATTAGAGAAATTGATCAAAGTTCAACGAAACAAACCTTAAAATCTATCAATAAAAATAAGTAAAGATATTCAACAAAAGATTGAAACAGAGAACGGGTGTATTATCAACATTAACATATGAAATCTTATGTAGCTAACATACACAAGAAAAAAGTATCATAGATAAAGGATTGTGTCATCGAAATCCACATGAAACGATTATGATCATATCCATAATAGAATCTAAGTTTGTAGTTCTAGATAAGTCTGGAGAATAAGCTGAATGACTTTAAAATTTTTTGGAGAATTTTGAATGACCAAAATTTGTGCCCACGGTATGAATATACTGTAACTAGCACAAATTTTCATGTATAAAGGTAAATTGAGACATATTCGTCGTCGATATAATGCCATTAGACAATTAATCTCAAATGGAGTTATCTTTATTGATTTTGTAAGATCAAAGAATAATATCACGGATCCACTAACTAAGGGATTAAATCAATATCAATTTGAGAAAACATCTAAAGAAATGATACTAAAACACAAAGAAATTAAATGTGTTATGTGAAGGAAAACCCTATCTTTTTTACTGGAGATCCTAAGATCTAGGTTCAAATGGACAATCTATATGCATAAATTGTGTGTGATCACTGTGGGAGTTTCTTATCTCAGGTTCGTTAGCATGATGTAAACAGTTGTCAAAGTGGTATAGGTTAAGCAAAGTTTTTAATGACCAATGTGTGTTTTGGTGAGTCGATCAACATAAGTTACCTATGTGAGAGTGAAGTGAGTCACTTCAAGAAAACTATTGTACGTATTTCTTTCAAACTCTTACAGAATCAAATAATGTTCACGACTATATGTATACCCATGAAAACTAATACACTTGTCAGAGAGGTAGTTGTGTGAAGTATATCATCGTTTACCTAAACGACAAAACAGTTCAAGGACATCACTTCTACTAGTTAGCTAGTAAAGCATATATTGTAACATTCTATGCCTGATTGGGCTAAAGTGTCATATTGGGCTGCCGAGGCAACCACTAGGTTTCAAAACCTGTTCATTTTCTTTTCAAATGTATTAAATGGTATCATAATTAAAACATATATAAAAAATATAAAATATTTTACAAAAATTGAAGCTCTATGACACATAATTTAAAACAAATAGCACATCTTGAAGTTTACAACTAAAATAGATAAGTAAGGTTCTATGAATACACATGCCCACTAAATTTACAGTATAGTATTCTATTGGAGATGCTGGAAGTCTCACTACGATGGTGCTTCACAAACGGCCTAGACTAAAAACCTACCAACGAAAAACATCTGAAGGTTGAGCTTACAAAGCCCATCAGTATAATTGTTAATCTAGAGCAGTATAAGAATTTCATAAATATAAGCATGCTGAAGACATGATACTAAATAGTAGGTGCATGCATGACCTAGATCAAGTTCTACCTACTTAAGGCTTACTGATTTATCACTGAAGTAGGGGTCTCACTCTTCCCTTAATTCTCTGTTAAGGGCATCGCCATGAGTACTCCTCTAAAAGGTCTCTAACCCTAACGACTAAACATGTTATGCATTATCTAAATACGATATTGATACCCATATGCATTATCTGAATACAAACCTCACATATTGTGCATTATCTAAATACAAACCTGATATATTACGCATTATCTGAGTACAAATCTAATTAGTATATGGTCTCACATAGCTCTCATACACTAGATAATGAAAGAACCCTGTTATCACATAGCATCGATATAATTCCCACAAACATACTGAATGATCTCCTGGTCATCACATAGCCATCGAGTATATCACTAAGGGGAAACTGGTGTCACATAGCATTGATACAATTCCCACACAAACTGAAGTATTGGATTGGTCTCACATAGCCTTCAAGTCAAGCTTTAACACATCTGACATACTGAAATGATGGGATTATACATACATGACTGACACAAATGGACATGGGCCCACACAAAATGAAACATTGGTTTGGTCTCACATAGCCTTCAAGCCAAGCTTTAACACATCTGACATACTGAAATGATGGGACTATACATACATGACTGACAAAAACGGACATGGGATAGGTCTGGTGGTGTGGTCGGAGGAATTTACATGCATATCATAGCAACACCCCAGCCTATATTGAATATGAAAAAGCCTAAACATAAGAATCAGAATTTACGTACATCGGAAGCTTACCCAACTGAACTAACAAAACTAACCATGCAGATCTAAGGCCCATAAGTCACATAATACTAACATTGATAACCCACTTCTTCTGAATGCTCAGGTCTCGCAGCATCGCGCACTGGTAATGTCTCACTATGCCAACTAAGGTAACCTAGGTATACCTTAACATAGTTGGACTCACCAAAGTGAAGTTAACGTCACACTAGTTGTTATCTCACTCGTTCTCTCATCTAGAACATTGGGCAAAGGCTTACTTATTATCAAAGGAACTGGCTAGCCCGGTATCTAGCTCGGGTTCGTTTCTGAGTAGCAGTACTCTATTCGATCTTATCATAATTCCCTTTAGAATTTCTTGAACTGAAAATGATGGCTTACTCTTCGTGGGTTCACTAATATTCTCGAAGCTCATATTTTTTGCGACCACTAAATCTGACATAATCATAGTACCACTTATCGGATATATCCTGACTATTCTTATTCGTTCTCATTTAAAAATACTTTGGTGTATTACGCTTAATATGGTTACTCCTGATGTAACCTGCTCTTGCAATTTTTTCTTGGTATACTTGGTCGTTTATGTCCCTCACAGACTAAGTCTTACTATTATGAATCATCTTTAGCTCTTAAAAAACTTAAACGGGTCAAACTTGACCATCCAAAGCGAGTAGTATCGATACTCTACTTGTAGTATCGATACCCTAGGGCCAAGTATCGATACCCCTAAGAGTATCAGTACAAAAAAGAATTCTGTCATGAAATTAGAGCCTCAACATTGATACTGACACCTCGAGTATTGATACTATAGGGGTAGTATCGATACTCCCCTTGGCAGTGTCGATACTCCTCCCCAAAATCCCTAATTTTTCCCCAATTCATCTAATATCGATATTGTTCATCCTAGTATTGATACTCGAACACTGAAAGGCTTATTTTAGGCTCGGGAAACACTTAAAAATCATCCTAAAGTCTATAGTTTGATTCTAAATCATGCACTTAAGTTTTAGAAAGTTAACTAGGATCCTTATGTGTCATAAAACACATTAATAACACCTAAACCATCTTTTAATCTGGAAATCAAATTTGAACCCTCATATTCTCAACTATACAAATCTTAGAAAATACTTGAAATTTATGAAAGCTTAATACTTCAAAGGTTATAAATACAATACCTTGATTTTAGAAACCTGAAATGAATCTCTTTTAGCTAAAAATCACCCTCCTCAAGGCTTGGATGATGAAAACCCCTATTTTTCTTACAAAATAAAACCCAAAGCTTGAATCTCCAAAATGATGTTGTTGGGGGGAATTTAGGACGAAAATGAAATAAGAAAAAGGTTCAAGACCTTACCTTGGAGCTATGACTAGTTAGAGAAAATGAAGGAAGAAGAAATGAAGAAGATGGAGATGAAATGGGAAGCTCACATGAAAGCTTGATATAAAACCCAAAGTTTAGCTTCAATTTCCATCAATGGCCTAAATAAACTTCTAGTCCTTGGTCTTTTGTCTCATATTTAAAAATTCTTTTTTTGTGGCTAATTGAGTCCAAATCCAACCCAATTAAACCCAACAACTTAAATCATGAAACCTACGGGGTCCACTTACCTCTCAGGTAAACTCGAAAACTACTAGCTCGAAATTTAGGGCGTTACATATATACTATCACAAGGGAAAGTTCAAAGGTAGACACATACTTATCCTATGCATCTATTGTTCATAGAATATATCACTATATCAAGTCAAAATACCTACTTATCCTATGCAACTATTGTTCATAGAATCTATGACTATATCGAGTCAAAATGTTTTTGATAAAATCATCAATTTAGATTGTTAGAAAAATGTGTTGAATTCAATGATTAATTTGATAATTGATTTTTCTTAAATATGATATTGTTCTATTATTTAAGGATTTATGGTCAATTAAAAAGATATTATGTAAGTTCTTTAAAATTCGAATATTAATAGGAAAATGTTATATTATTTAAGGATTTACGAATTTATATTCAATTAAAATATGAATCTATAATTTATAAATTTATATTTGATTAAATACAAATATAGTATTTATGAATTTATATTCAATTAAAATACGAATATATTATGACGAATATATATTCAATTAGAATAGAATATTGTAATTTCGGAAAGATTGCTTTATCTTAATTTTTCCTTTGCGATCCCTATAAATAATGTGCTAACCTTTTAAGTTAAAAATATGTTTTACAAGCTTACAAGTTTTTACAATTTAATAACCTTTTAAGTTAAAAATATGTTTTACAAGCTTACAAGTTTTTACAATTTAATAACGTGAAACAACTCAGAAAAGTTCTTATCCTTTAGTTTTTCAATGATATATAAAGGCAAGGGTATAATTCATGTTCTCGAGCATCGAATAGTAATAAAAAATCTATCTTAATGAAACTATATAACAACAGAACTAAACTCGTTTCCACTTGATTTATTTTTCACATAGAGTGTGATTATGATATCGGATTATTATACTTCTAATAATCATAAAATAGAATAAACCCATTCTTTATCTTTAATTTTTATAATGATATTCGAATATTATTATCACTATTTTATTATTTTATTCTTGGATTAACAATTTGTCTAACAGAGGACTATGAACTAAAACAGTTGTTATCGGCACTTTTCGGGACTTGCCCGTTGGATAGAACTGTTTCGCCATTGGCAATCCCTTCGGATACGAGAGTAATGACGGGTAAACAACCGGTTCAACAACACTGCAGCAGTGTTGGTTGTTTTCAAAGCAAGTTAAAAGTTGCTTTGAAAACAACCAACACTGCTGCAGTGTTGTTGAACCGGTTGTTTACCCGTCATTACTCTCGTATCGGAAGGGATTGCCAATGGCGAAACAGTTCTATCCAACGGGCAAGTCCCGAAAAGTGTTGGTTGCTAATTAAAGAATTGCAGAAAATTTCTTGAATCCATTTATGCAGATGGTTAGGGGATTAGGCAAAGAGATCCCTTCCCAAATGGCAGGGTTGACTCAAACAGATGCTGCAATTAACTCAGCCAACTCGAGTGGGCCGTTGACCGGTTCCAATTGTCAAGCCATCGCGGTTAATACTGCAGCTTCCACTCCGAAGCTTTTGTTGTCTATAGTTCTGAAAACCTAACTCGAAATCATCACTGTGAGAATACCGGGTGGAGAAACCAGTCTCAATATCAATCCTAACATCGTTTATATAGTTTCTGCCTACCAAAGAAGAATATCATACGGATTAAATGCATGCCATGTGAACCCTAGATGGCATCACTCATGATCCCTTCCATTAACTCAGACCGAAGCAATTGCAATACAATCGTTGCCAATAACAATACGATACTTGCAGAAAAACAGTAGTTTCTTTCGAACATAGAAATTATGGAAACATAAGAGTCTCATTTCTTATACCTTCAGCAACGACAACTGTTCCTCGACGGAGCAATCCACATGACAGGAGACACGACAAGAGACAGGGATGAGAGTGAGACCAAGGCATCGTTGCTCCATCGGAGATGGAGAGGACCGGCGAGTGCTACGGTACTCTACTGTATCCTGGAGAATGATATTTCCTTGCTTGTCAAGGCAGTGGAAAGTGCCCAAGAAAAACCTTCCGTCTTTGATCCCCACCAGCATACGGCGAAACAATAGCTTTCTTACACGAGTTACAGGATCTGAGCTGCTAGATTCGGAACTATCCGAGTTCCCCAACTGAATCAACGATTCCCCTACTTCTTGTTCCATGGGAATGCACTTGAATCAATATGTTTTCACTGCAAATGTCAACCAAACACCAATGAGGAGGGGATATAAAATTATTAGAACAGCACATTGAAGATCAAACAAAAGCATCCATTGGTGGATGATCGATCTTTAGATGGAACAAAGATGAAATCTGTAAAAAAAAAGAACAGAATGGAAACTTTATACACTATAAGATACCAATTCTAAGATCTTCGGAAAGCACAAAGTCTATATAAGAGACGCAGAAAAGGGAAAGTCTGATATGACAATTATCATCCAGCAGCTAAAATACATACATTTGCCAATGCAGGAAATTGAGCAAATTTGGGAACAAACTTTTGAAATTGATAGGAACGCAATGAAAATTACAAAAATATTCAAAACCCCAATTCACAGATTCAATGAAGACCCTAAGAAAAAGATGATTTTAATTCGTAATTAAACAATCGATCAACCCCAATAGCATGGAAATCAATAAAGAGACGAGCAAGCGCAGCATATAAAATAAGCAAGGGAGAGAGAAAGAACACTGATTTAGCACTCAATCAAAGCAAACCCAGAAACTGAAAACTGGAAGAAAAAAAAGTAATTTGGTAAAGATAAAGTTTTAGAGATACAAAACAATGACAACTTGCTTAATTAAAAAAAAACTGTAAATAGATGAACGGAAGGAGAAGGCTTTAGTAACTTACCAAAGAGGAATTGAAAAGATTTGAGATAACAAAAACGAGTCTTTCAGTTTCTACGATCTTGTTTTGGAGAAGTGAGGGAAAGACAAGATGAAAAGGGGAAGACGACCTGCCAAAGATTTTGGGTTTTTGGATTGAGGCTTTTAAACCGGTTAGAATGGGTTGTTCGGCCCAATAGCAAGCGTCACGCACCTGCACTTTATTCTAAGTTGATAAAGAGAATTCTCAAGATGGAAGTGCTAATGTTGATTCAGTTAAAACACTGGAAATGAAAAGCAAGTAGAGATTTGTAAGGGAAAGGGTGTTCTCTCGAGTTCCTCTAACATGTTTGCTTTGCTTGATGCAAAGTACAGAGAATTGCTTGATGTTAAAGAGAGATCTTTTAGAGAGAAATCTAGAACACTGGTTAAAAGGGGGTGACCGTAACACACATTGTTCAGTCAACAGCAAAATGAGTAGAGATAATATCAAAGTTTTGGCTAATGGAGATGGGGAAAGGCTTGAATCTAAAGAGGATTTGGTTGTTGAAATTGTAGGTTATTACAAGAAGTTGACAGGAACAAAAGATCATAATGTTTTGGTACCATTAGTTGAACTGTTGAGAGAACTTTAATCTGCCAGTTGACGGTGAAGGAGCAAAACCAGCTGATTAAGCCAGTTGAGGATAGTCAGATTAAAGATGAACTTTTATATTCAGGCTGGATACTTATGGATTGCCTGAATAAATTCATATTTGCTAAAGGGAAGAAATGTGTTGCAGGTACCTATTGCTCAGAATTGTAGTTGGTGGATATAGGAGAGGCTGATGGGATTGAGAGAATTGGTAGTGGCTATCTTCCAAGCTCAAGGATTTCCAGTGCAAGGGCTGCGGTACCAAATCACTAAAATTTGGTTTATTGGGGCAGAAAAAAGTATGAATTTTGATATACAATTAATCTATTTTATGAATTTTGATATACAATTAATCTATTTTATATAAATTCTCATGAGTCGGTGGACTTTTGTATTTATATTATCACTTATTGTATATATTGTTTACTTTGTTTGCTGTATCTTTTCTTTTGTATGACATGTTCATCATTTCTATTTTTGCCAATATCTTCTTCTGTAGGACAATATGTCAAGTGCTGTTCATTTTCCCAATCCTTTCCCCTTGTTTTCAACTAAGAATTAGATAGTAGGTCTAAAAGATAAAGTAGGTAGCAACTTGATAATATATGATCATTTAGCTCCGAAAATTTATAGCAGCTCTTTTATGTCATTAAAATTCAAGTTTGAACATAAGATATTGTTGACCGAATATAAAGATTGTAATAACTATAGGCGGTTCAGCTCTTCTTAGAAAGTCACAAGAAATGGTTAGATGGTGACCTTTTGCCACTATAAAAGGAGGAGAAGAAAGATGAGATGAGAAGTGATATCATTACCCCCTCTCTCAATCTTAATTGAGAAGTTTTATAATAACCTTTAGTACTACTGTCAGGATTAGGACAATAATGCTCATTTGTTGATTGACAGGTTAAATGAATTTGATCGTTGGATAGCATATTTGGCTATGAGAGATCCCTTGAACCTATTATAGATTATGTCGAGAGATTATAACTGTTCGGAGAATATGTAGCTTTGAATGCTTTAGAAAACTCTAGAAGATTCAACACTCAATAGACAAAGAAATAAAAAAGATAATGACTTCCAAAAGAGATCAATAAAGGATACAAACAAATACCAATACATTTGTACATGGATGTATAATAAGAAAATTGGTAATAGCATGGACTCTACTATTAAAAAACTGTGGATTTACAGGCTTCGTACCTAAAAAGCATTTATCAATACATACATGTTTGTTGCTCTTTGTTTGTTTAGGGGACACGAGGGTGACAAATGATTGCAGAATCCTCGTTGGTTATGTAATTATTTACATAACAAAAGACAGCATGTTGTATATAGTATTGTTGCATGAACCCTACTTGAACCTTGAAGACTAGGGCATACATTATTAGGTCAATACATTATTGTTTTAAGTGCATGCTTTGCTGGACTTCCGTTATCGTTTTGCGAAACACATGTTTGTAAAAAGCTTGGCTGTTCTCTGGTCATCATCATTGTGCCATGCTTTTAATTACAATCATTAGTTTAGTTTTTGTCAACAAGAAGATGTGTATTGTCCTTAATTTGGTTCTTTGTTGATAGTGATCTTTAGTTATGGTCCTTAGTTTAGCTTAGTTTATTCATTGGTTTTCTTTTGCTGCATAAAAAGAATTCTAAGCCATTTAACTCTTTAAGTGACTTCAATAATAGGAAATGTTTAAAGACGGAATTACACAGTGACTAGTCGTTTCTTTTAAAATTTTTGGTATAATAATATTTTTTTTTGTGGTTATGAAGTGATGTGCATAGTGATGGCATTGCCTTGGCCACCGCCACAATTAATGAGGAATTTAAACACTTCCATCATGGAGGTGAGTTAGGTAACTGTCGGTGATTCCCCACATGCTGGCTCTCCATCATGCGTCGTGATATGTGGCTTTTGCTTGTTATGTGCTCTTCTTTGCTACTCTTCAAAACAAAAAGGACGAAATTAAAATTAAATATTTAAGAATAATTTTAAAAATATATTTAAATTTTAAATTTAAAAAATAAAAATTTTATTTATTTAATATTTAAACTAATAAAACTGAATACTATTTTATAAAACAATTTGACGACCACAACCCCTCTAATCCCACCGACGACTATGTCCTAAAGGAGAACACGATAGTCGGATGTTCTTAATTTATCAACGACTTGACGTTGAATTGTTGTTGTGAAGGCTTGATCTTTTGTCCTAAGCCCTAACTTAAAAGGACTATTTTGTTGCACGAACCAACTTACTTCAATGGTTAAAAGAATCGTTGTTATTATTTGAGGTTACGGGTTCGAGCATTAGCGATTGTAGTCGGGTGATTGAGCGGTCATACTTAAATGGTTGAGAGTATTTAGAACAGATACTACTTTGTAATTACCTTAGCTTAATAATAAAAGGACTATTTTGGTATAACCATTAAGTATCAATACACTATTAGGATAAGGGATGAAGATATTAAGGTTGAATGATAAATTTCCGAGAATAAAATGACATAAAAATACTTTAAAAATAATATAATTTTTATTTATAAAAAAATTCGGCAGACAAATAAAAGGATCCCTCCACAGATTTTTGTGTATATTACGAAATAAACTGGCTTCTAATGTGTTATATGGTTAATTGGTATTTAATCTACACTTAGTGAATTGAATGCCGAGTTTAAGCATGTTCTTAATCACATTAGTTCCTATATAACAGGTAAATGAGACGTGACTTTATAATTAATCATCTCCAATATCACGTGATTGCTTTCGCTTAATATGAAAAATATCCAACTAAATAAACATTTTCTGAAAATGAAAAACAAAATACAACTAACATTTAATTCTTAGACCTTACATGTTCAAATGAATTTAGATACGTAATGTACAAGTATAATTAATTAAACATTTAAAGGTTAAAATTAAATTAATAAATATATTTTAGAAATGTAAAATAAGAATGTACCATTAAAATCGACCAAATATGTGTTGTATACAATAATTTTATTTTACTTCTGATTAGTATTGGATCATGCTTTTTCTTATCTACGCACAATGTATTAAACTTTTTGATTCAGTGGTTAAAAGGATTGTTATTCTCTCGTGAGGTTATAAGTTCAAACAATTACATCTGTAAAGTGTGCGAACGTTTTTCAATGATAAAAAAAATTCTGAACATAAAGTATTTTGTATTCACACATACTATTAAAAAAATAGAATATGTTACTAAATATTCTTGTATCCGTCAACTACTAATTAATTTAGTAGAATAAACATTAGATTTCTTAAAACATGCATGTATAATTTGAATTATAGCTTTATGAGGGAAGGAAATTGAGTTAAAAAGATCTTACTTAAAAGATTGTGATATTTAATTTAAATTAATAAATTAGATATAGAAGATCACACTAAAATATTGTTTTTGGTTTTGTTAATTTTAATTAATGAGATGATTTAGGTAAGTTTGTTGTTTGATTGATAGTACACGTACGGAACATTCACGGCATTTCGTTATCACACTTGATTAATGTTGATTTGGGAACACATGCCACAACGTGTGGGTCTTTACCCTTTATTTATTTATTTTATAATGGGAAATCAGATCTAAAGTGTAAACAACAATGCAACAATGCACCATTGCACATGTACATTAACATCATATTTAACTCTCAATGATAAGATATCAGCTAAGATGATCATAAATTAGGTCGAATTTTTTAGTTTATTTTGAATATGATTATATATTAATCAATTGATTTGGATTTAAAAAAAAATCATCTCCTATCGTCTTCTTCTTTCTTTTTTTAATTTTGTTTAGACGGCAACACTAATCTTAATGTTGGTTGACTATTACTTTTCTTGTTTTATTATATTATATCATTTATCTTTTTTACTTGTGTCTTTTTATTTTGAAAAAGAATCTTTGTCCTTATGACATTTTTTTTTGCTCTTGTGACACGTCTTTTCTTTGTTCATGTGGCACGATCCTCATAGTTTTTTTGTACGTTTCTTTTATGCCTATGCGGTAGTTTTGGTTCTCGTACAAAAATCATCACGATATTTATTTTCTGATTGTTTAGTCGGTGGTCACGTATAGTCAAATCACCTCTTTTGGTAAAATATTGTACGTCGTAATTATAATTGTGTAGCGAAGCAGCCTACCAAGATTATTTGCTTTGCTCTCCACTCCTTTATCACTTCTTCAAGCGTCTTGTGTCTCATTCGATAGAAACAATGAGTTATGAAATTTATTGACTTTTGATGTTGGTCGTCATTATCAATAGAAGATTTTATTTTTCTTTGTAGCTTTAGGTTTAATTTTTTACTTTTGTATGAGTATTTCGGTGGTTGTTGTCTCCAAATTTCTCTCTATATTTTGATGTGTTATAATTTTGATTTCTTTCATTATTAATAAAATTCAATTACCCTTGTTAAAAAAAGGTTTCACCCCATTTAAAATATGACTCAATTTTTAAGATAAAACCTCGTACTCAATTTGATAAGACAGAAATACATATATATTTCTTATTTTTATTAGGTAGAATGAGAATTTATTTGAAATATATATATATATATATATAATAGTATTATAATATTTATCTCTAAATATATAGAGATAAATTATACTACTATTTACATGTCAGATTTTTTTTCACCGTAAATCTAAACTTGATTTAACTTTATCTTTAAAAAACTATATATGAACTCGATTTAAAAAAATCAACTCTATAAGATTAGTTCAGGGTAAGAACTCATTGAATTCGGGTCAAATATTCATCCCTAATATCATCACTTTTTTTAAATCATTTTTATAAATAATTAAAATAACTACATTATTGTTTCCAAACTCGATCCATAACCAAGTATACGCTAACATATCTATAGTATATTAACAAATTATCAAATTCCAACTCATCAATCTGAATATTATTTATGTTTAATATTTTTTTTAAAAGCGACTAAAAACCACAAACGTGGATGAAAGTACACTAATAACAGGTTGTACAATAATAATGTTTAGTAGACCCAAATCTAAATCCAACTCATCAAATTCTATAAAAGAAAATGCATAAGAATATATATATATATATATATATATATATATATATATATATATATATATATATATATATATATATATACATATATATATACATGTGTGTGTGGGTAACTTCATCAATGTATTTATAATTATTCAATTATTAAACATATCATCAAAATTTCTAATATTTTTTTATTAACCTCTCGGTTTCAATAATTTGTCCTGATTGATCAGAATCGACCCGCGTCGTACACATGACTTTGGTGGAGGATGAGTCTCCCAACAAGATTTTTTCTATACACAAAAACTCATACTCGAAACATTGCTCAAACGATACCAAGGTGCTGACCACTTGAACCAACCCTTGATAATGAAATCTCTAATATTTAAGTTAAAGTTCTATTTTGTTATGAAATTTCTATAAATATATTCTTATATAAATTTACAACCAACAGTATTTTAATTATCAATCTGATAAATAATAAAAGCTTTCCTTTAATTCTTTAAAGTGTATAAAATGTATTAAGTGGTGTATTAATTATGCCGTGTTGATACAATACTTCATATTGTCATCTACTTTTACCGTATCATGTTCTTATCCTACACGTTAGTATATATATATATATATATATATATATATATATATATATAATGTATGAGTTATGATACACTCATATCATATATTTTTTTAGTTTTACATAAATTTAAATTCATTAGATAAATGAAAATAAATACTGAAATAAATTCTTTATTTTTTAGTAAATATCTTATTATTTCGTACAATTAATCTCAGCCTTTTTTTATTTATCAAACCATCTTAAATATATATAAAAATTAAAACATTAATTGTATCGTTATCTATTATTATCTTACAAATGTTTATTTAAATCTTTTTTTAAAAAAAGTATTTATTTGAACAAAAATTATGAAAATAGAGTAATTTTCAGGAGTATTTTAAGATAAGGAACGAATCGCTGTTTCCATCTCCATCTCCCGTTATGGTGGCTGATCATATTTCATAAATGGCCTTTTTCTTCGGTCTAATTTATGTTTAGTCCTTTTCTTACATCAAAATTGAGGATTTAATTTCTCTGTTTTAATTTAATATAGTTTGATCATATTTTATAATGTTCTTATAATTATTTGATCATACTATCAAGATCATGTTGAAATTAAGATGATCATGTTCTGTCAATAATAATTTTATGTTTCAAGATACAAATTAAATGTTTATCTATTCATAACCTATTTTCTAAATCTCAAATATTTGAATTTAGATTCATTCAAATTTACATTCTCTTGAATGCTTTAATAGTAACACTGTGAATTGAATTATTATTTAATCAATAATAAATTAAATCATTAATTAAATACTTAAAATTGTTTTTAAAAACATGCCATTATTTTATTAACGGTCACTATCCATATTACCAATTTGGATCTATGTCATTATAAAAGTGAAAAATCAAATTATATCATATTAAATAAAGGGATTAAGTCTTTACTCTAAGTATAATGTAGGGATTACAACCATAATTAAACCCTTTTTATTTTCCTTTTATCCCTTTTTTTGGTCAATCTTTTAGTAGTCCCTACATTATAAAAATGTAGTAGATTTAATCCATTTACTCTAATTTTATGATTTTTAGTCGGGTAATGTTCAAATTTTAAAAATTCAATCCTGACATAAACAAATAGCTATTAAATATGTTAAGTTAGATTATGTTATTAATTATTGTGATACGAGTAAATTACATATTTACTTCTTATTCTTTAATTTGATTATTTTAAGCCTCCATAATTTAATCATATTGTCCTTGAATTATTTAAGCGAGAGTGAAGTCTTGACATTAGGGTAAATTATATGTTTAGTATAAACAATTAATTTTGTTCCATTTTGATATTTAATTTTTTTTTTTAAATTATACTTAAATTTAAATTAACAGAATTGTTCATGTAACAATTTTTTCCAATGATGACATGGCAATACTTAAAGGTGACACATCAACATCATCGTTAAATTTTTAAAAGTGGGATATTAAAATGAAACATAAACTAAACACTAAGTATATTTTTGAAAGAGAATAAAGTTTGGATACGAAAATGAAATAAAAGTAATAGTTTAGGTCCTGAATTTTACCCTAAAATTTAAAAAGTACTATAACAGTTAAAATTGACTAAATTAATACAAGGACTAGATATATAATTTTGACATAGTATAAGGATAATAATAGATTTGGCAAATTTCTTTTCCATCAAAATCCTCTCCCCCCTTAAAGGTCATGTTCTCTCTCTCCCACAGATCCAAATATCACAAGTGATAACTTTCCTATACCAAAAACAAATCAAGTAATTTCAAAGAAGGGGAAACATGTCTTCACTCCGTTCAGATCCGGTTCACAGAATCCATCCCGAGCCGATCGATCAGTTCGACCGTCTCCCGGACTCTATTCTCCTCCTGGTCTTCAACAAGATCGGCGACGTCAAAGCTCTCGGCCGATGCTGCGTCGTTTCGGGCCGTTTCCATTCCCTCGTCCCACAGGTCGAAAACGTCGTCGTTCGTGTCGATTGCGTCATCTCCGATGACGATTCTTCCCCCTCTTCCTACGACAAGTCACGCTCCGCCGGCCCGATTTCTAGCATCTTCCGTTTCCTTTTTGGGGGCATTGTCAAACCGTTCCATGCTTTGGCTCAATTTCTCGGTCCGAAACGGCCCGCTTTCAGGGAAACCCTTAACACCCATCCGTCTTCTTCTTCCTTATTTGTTGGTTCTGTTGGTCCCCGTGCTGATGTCAACGATGGGGAAATGGAGCAAGGTGGGGTGACACATCATTCTCCGACGCAAGTACTTAGAAATTTCGACGAGATTCGTTATCTTCGGATCGAATTACCCAGCGGCGAGTTAGGGATCGATGATGGGGTTCTTTTGAGATGGAGAGCCGATTTCGGGTCAACCCTTGATAACTGTGTCATCCTCGGAGCTGCTTCCGTTACTAAGAACCTGCATTTGCAGGTACCGGAGTGTGGGAACGATGAGTTTTGCCCCAATAATAACATCATTAACGTTGATGATAATGGGAGTATTCCCGAGTCGTTTTATACCAACGGAGGCCTGAAATTACGGGTTGTTTGGACGATTAGCTCGTTGATCGCTGCGTCGGCGAGGCATTATTTGCTTCAACCAATAATTGCAGAGCATAAGACGCTCGATAGCTTGGTTTTAACTGATGCTGATGGACAAGGGGTGCTTTGCATGAACAGAGATCAGCTCGAGGAGTTGAGAGTGAAGCCATTATCGGCTTCTTCTGCTTTGAAAAGGACTCAGGTGCCAGCACTGAATATGAGGCTTTGGTACGCTCCTCACTTGGAATTGCCTGATGGGATTGTTTTGAATGGAGCTACTTTGGTTGCTATTAGGCCAAGTGAACAGTCTTCTTCAAAGAAAGAGGTCTCTGATGCTTCTTGGTTGTCAACTGCCTTTGAAGAGCCTTATGGGACTGCAGCTAAGATGCTTGTTAAGAGAAAAACTTACTGTTTGGAGATGAACTCGTTTTGATGTCTGCTTCCTGATCTTTGAAGGTAAGAAAATATACAAATGTTGGATAAACTCAAAAGTGATTTCATGCTTGAATTATATGTTAGTTTGGAATTGTTTCAGTTCTTCATGTAAATTGATTCTCTGTTTCGTTAATAGGCATGCATGCTCTTAGTAGGCATTCACTTGTTCACTATTAGGCCATTTGAAATTATGTAGTTTAAGTGATAAATATGCTCTCAATGTCTTCTGGGGATGCATATTTATAAGGTCAAATTATCTTGTTTCACGATCACATCGATTTGTATATATTTTTATGAAATTAAAGGGGGGGGGGGGGCAATCAGAATTGTATTTTATGGTGAATGGGGGTTTCGATTTCAATTTTCATTTGTGATGTGAAAAAACTTACGTTTGCAATAGGTTGTGTTAAAATTAGCAGCCCTGGCATTCTCTAGTCTCCTTTTAGCCTTGAATTACCTTTTCTTTATTTATGCACTTTTATGAATGTAAAGTTAATTTAGAGATCATCTGGCCCTTTACAGGGAACAATGGTCGGGGGGGAAGAAACGATAGCATGCTTTTGGAAAGCCGGCGAACAAACAACAATTTTGTTCCATTTTGTAGCTTTAATCTCGTGGCAGTGTCCTGTGAAGCTAAACCTAGCTTTTGACGCCATTGGATGCAACACATGCTTGTTGATAATGGACTGCAAGTGTTTTCACCTTTTTTGCTTCAACTGATAGCCAAAATGCATCTGCTGGTTGTTGTTTTTTAAACTATTTCAGGCATTTGCTTGTAAGCGTGCACACCTGCACCAAGACCAATGCTGTAAGAGCATCGAGTTTTTCTAATCCTCGACTACTTTTTATCTATAATCCCTCTACATATGTGAATATTGTAGGTATGAAGATGTGATGCTTTATGTTTCATATACGAATGAAGTTAATCAAGAATTGTACTTGCAGTTTGCACTTCTACCCTTTAATGTTTATTCGATAAAGCTTACTTACCATGCTCCCACCAAAGCTTCATTGATACTTATTATCCTTGCAAATTCGAATTATCCTGTACATCACTTGTTAAGAATGATTGTATGAATCCACTTTGTTAATTAAGAATTCGAGTTTTTTGGGTATGAATTTAGGTTCTTGTTATTGTTTTTCATGTTCCCGCTCATTTTAGTATCTTAGCATGTCCACTTTTACATGCAAAGAAAGTCACACGGTTCAAGAAGATGTGGAGCAAGTGTACAAAAAGTCTTAAATGCCACTTTTCTTATTTCTAAAGGAATTTAAAGCATCGTTCATAAACCAGAATGACGGCCATTGTTGCTTTGCCTTTAAAGAATGGTGACGGGGTTAAAAGTTTGCCGATGCTGAAATGCTAATCAACTGTTTGACTTTATAATTCGCTATAAATATACTCCTTCCGTCCCATTAATATTTCATGTGAAAAATGAAATCTCTATCCGTTTCTAATCAAATGAAATTGACTCGAAGGTTATGATATTTATGTAATCTGAAGATATAAATTATTTTAAACTTTGATAAACAAAAGAATTTATGCAAGGATCTCAACTGATGAAGAACTAACAGTTTCTGAAGGTAATCTATGTAAATATAATAATGTTCAACATAAAAAATTATTTTATTTTAATTGATAGTGAATGTCACTAAGGAATGCTTTCATTTATTTTTCTTATTAATAAGGTGGTAACACACGTCATCATTTTATTGTTAGATTTCATTAAAAAATAATATGTACGTATGACGACTCTAATACTATTAATGATTTACCGACAAAGTGATCAAATATTCTTTAGTAATAATAATTAAAAAGAAAGTTTATTTTGCTCAAAAAAATAAGTTTATTGCAACTTTGACAGCAGGCAATGCATCCAAAAACAAAATGTACATGTATTTCAACCAAAAACCTAAACGACTTTAAACCCTAAAGTTTGAATGTCCAACTCTTTTTATGTCTTTGCAACCAAAAGAATAAAGCTACCACGCTTTTAGCATAATTATCCGGAAAAAAATCAATTATTTAACAATGACGATTGCTTGCTTAAAATCTACAACCTTATATTAGATGTGGACCCTTTTTACTCTTTATTTTATTTTTTATTCTCCTAGGCAGATATATGCTAATGTATCATGTTTAGGCCATCTCCAGCCATCATCTCTACTCTACATCATCTCTATATCTACTTTAAAAATGAAATAATAATTCATCTCCAGCACTATCTTTACATTACCACAAACCCTACTTTATTTACGATATTTAACTATTATAATATTGATTTTGCAAATATAAAATAAAACATATACATTTCTAATAATATCAAGATAAAAGCATAAATAAAACATTTATAAATAACTTTGCAAAAATACAAATAAATAAGAATGTTACAATTCATAATAATAATACGAAAAAACATAAGTTACATAATTATATATTTAATTCTCCGAATTATAATATTCATTCCACAAATACTCAATTAGTGCATTTCGTAGAGCAAAATGAGCAGTTGCATCTTTGATTTGTCTAAATCGGGTAAGGAATTCTTGAAATCGAGTCTCCTCGTCTTCAACAAATTAAAAAAAAAACAAAAATCAGGAAAAAAAAAGTAACGCAGCTAAAATGCAACGTCAGTTGTGGTGTGCACTGTAGCACGACGCCACAATTCAGCATAACAATGACAATGAGCTGGAACTATAGATCATCTCCAAAGTGGAGATGAATGTCACTCCAGCGATGCGCTGGAGATAGCCTTAGTACTAAAAAATAATGTATTATGTTTAATTAGTGTATTAATCTAAATTAGATTTAAGTAGATTTTCTCGTGAGATTACATAAAGCCGGAATATATTTAGACAACTAAAAGTTAGTTATTTTTTTATGTAAATACAAGTGGTTAGTTTTACATAAAAAAGAAATATTTGAATTTATTATGTGATTTTCATGAAAAAAAAATTAAATATTAGTCTTTCTAGAGTTTCTAAATACGAGCACTGATGTCTGTAAGGTGTTTGTGCATTGTCAATAAATTAAGAAAGTTATAAACAAATATTGTATTGTAATTAGGGTGTTAAAAAAACCGTTAATCGTTAACCCTAACCATTAATCAATATAATCGTTACATTTAACAGATTAATTAACCGAACCATTAATGTTAAATAGTTTTGATTAACCGAACCATTAAAAATGATAGTTAACGGTTAAAATTACGGTTATGAATTTTGATAACCGTTTATAAATTAAATTCATAATTCTTTTTTATATTCATTTATTAGTATTATATTATTTCTAATTTTAACTTGTTTCATGTTTTGAAATATAAAAATGAAAAATTTAACAATCAATCAACCAACAATTATAATTGATGAGTCGTATTCTATTTTAGAGGAAGTTAATGAAAACCTCGAATGTTGGTGATTTGTGTTTGGTTCAAGGATTGTGGGACATTCCCATGTTTGGTTGGTCGGGAATCTCATTCCCTGTAATGTTTTATTACTAATAGTAGATTTTTTGGGGTATATTATCGGGAATGTCATTACCTCCCTTCCCTTAGGTATTGTAACAATACCGGCGTTTTGGACTAAAATACCCTTAAATTTATATTTTTTTTCAAAAATATCATTCTTCTGTCATTGAATAATAAAATTCTACGAAGGTTAAATAACAAATTTATCCTTAAATTATTTAGATTTACAAAAAAAAAGTCTATAATTAAAATTTTATATGAAGTTCAGGGGTTAAAATTTTTTTTTTACCCTTTCATTAAACCTTTTTTATATTTTAAATTTTGTAAAAAATTATATAAATATTATGAATTTAATTTTTTAAAGAAAATATATAAATATTTTACAATTTGTAATATTATAAAAATATATAATAAGGATAATTTGGTCAAATATGCATTCCAATAATTTTTTATTCCTTTAACCAAATACGGTAATCTTACATTCCTGCTAAACCAACCAAACACAAAATACAACATTCCCAGTAATCCTATTCCCTGGTAATCTTTTATTCCCACTGGTAATCTTACATTCCGTGAACCAAACGCAACCTAAATACTTTGAGTTATTGTGTTTATTTTATGTTTGTTAAATACTTGTCTTTAAAACTTTGATGGTGTATTAAAATATTAGTAAAATATTTACATAAAAGTTTATAGAAAATATAATTTTCTATTATTTCTAATTCATATATTTTTAATAAAATTTGTATAAAAATAACTTAATATATATATATTTCTTAATTTTATTTTTTTATTTCTTTGAAATAAAAAAATATATTTACACCAATATAATTATATGTTTATTGTTAGGTGTCGAGATATTGTGACATGTACATACTTACGCTAGTATTAATATGTGTTAAGTGCCACACTTTTTTATTTTATCTATTTACACCAGTGTAAATATGTGTTTTAGTGCTACACTTTTTTGTAGTACGAATTGTAAAACTTTAAAACGTTCATGTTGTGTTATTTTTAAAAAATAATTGTAATAGGTTAATCGTAGGTTGACATGTAATCGAACTGTTAATAACTATTAAAAAATCTTGTAACAATTATAATGATCAACAAACTGTTAAGGCTAAAAGGTACATTTAACCGTCCATGAACAGAACACTATTGTAATCATCTCATACTATTATAGAAATAAAAAGAAATATCCAAAATTACAAAGAATGTTTATAATTATAAACGTAAGCTATACACATAATTAAAAAAATTTCTATAGCTATTGGCATAAGAAACTAATCACATGTGATCATACAAGGAAAATGTTAAAAGCTCGGTTAAATTTTTTTAAATAAAATATAAATACAAACATATATGATTGCACCAACAAATGGACATAATTTTAAAAGAGGAGAAAAAATCATCTTTAATTTTGTAAAAGTCGAAGAAGGAAATGACTTTTACAATATTAATTATAGTATTTTATTTAAAGTTGATAAATTAAATTAAAAATTAATTAACTTTAACATATAATATCATCAAAATAACGAAAGTTAAAGATTAAATGACCACATTATAATAAACTAATAACGAAAATGATTCAAACACAACTTTTAAAATTTAATTATTAAAACCTAATAAAACTAAAATAAAAGTGGCCTGAATAATAATTTTCCCTTTATTATTGAATTGTTTAAAGAGAAGAAAATAATAGCAGAGAAAAAGAATCTGCATAATCCAAAAAAAAAAAGTTTTATTGTGAATAATATACAAATTAGTCAGTCAACTTTCAGTGCCAACAATGAACTTATCAAGTAATTGTGGAATTTTATAGTATCAACTTTAAAAATATTTATTGCCTTTTTTTCTCAAATGATGAGATCAGGATAAGACTAATTAAAAACTTTCTTTACAAAGTATATTTTGTGTGAGTTTAAATCTCAATATTTATTTTAAAAACATATTTTTTAATCAGAAAATTATTATTAATTGATATTGTTAGCACTAATTTCCGTTTGATTCAACTCAAACATGAGTACTCAAAATAAAGATACGAGAAGACTAGTATATCGAGAGGGGGGAAAACTTGAACTATCGCTACGTGTATTAATAATACTTGAGAATATTTATTGGTTAATTTAATGTTCATTAACAATTGGTTTTCAACAGAGAAACCCTAATCCTCCCCCTTTCCTTAGCTTCCCTTTGACTTTTTTTTTCTTTAATAAGAATGATTTCGACTGTGTTGCACGTTTATCTCTGTTTTTGTGACATGTTTTTTGTTTTTTCTCGGTCGCTTGTTTGTTCTTTTATTTATGATTTCTCAGGGTTGGATCTGACAACACCACGACTAATCAAGATGACAAATATTTGAAATATTGTTTATCTTCCCTGCTATGGACTTTCGGATTGAATTTGGATGCGTAATTTTACGTTTGTGGATAGTTTCTCACGACGCCCAGCTCTGATTTGTAGTTCTTGGTGATTTTTTAATAGTTTAATTTCCTATTGAGGCTCGTTTGCCGATACAATTATATTTTTTTTCGTATCAATTTT